CTCTTCAAAAATAAAATCACACCACTTACAGTATTAAAATTAAATTGTCTTGACACAAAATTGACATTTAATCCACAAAATCAAAGATAGTTAATGATTGTAACTCCAGTTCACTTAAGTCTTATTTACATCACAGTTCGTGACATGATGCAACAGGTATATTCATCCATTATTGTGATGGGTCCAAACAGCTGAAAAATAAAGACAGCTAGTACAGAGGTGGATAATCTGTGTGCTATCCATTTGACACTAAAAATATAGTTGCTTTCAGCCTGAGATTTTTGGTTTCCCCCCCCTCCTTGGTTTACTTAGAATTTTGTGCTTCCTAGAACCACCTACATTCATCACCAAAAATTAGGACCGATTGTTTCCTGAGGATATGGACTTTCAGTGCTAAAATTGGGACAGTTGTAGCAAACTGAGATGTTTAGACAGTGCTTTGTCGCAGGTTAACAATTACCTTGAGGCTGCCTGAAAGAAAGTACAGGCTTGAATAGTAAAACACCAAACCATATTTTGATTTTTGCCTTCAGAGGTTTTATTGTCATTATTTCAAATACATTATATGCTCGGCTTGAATATGGGCTCTCCCCCAACCCCTGCACACACACACACACACACACACACACACATTAATTGTATTACCATCTTTGAAATAGAGCAGGGGGAAAAAACAGTGCTAGTAACAGTGCTAGAAAAAACAGTGTATAGTAAATTCACTTTTTCATTTTTGACAAAACTGAAGCCATTTTTCAAGATGAGGAAGCTAGAAATTCCCTTAGACTTATTTGTAGACTATGTACTAACTTTGTTGTCTTTCCTGTATTCAAAAATCTGCAAACTTTTTGCTCGGACAGCCTCCTGTGTATGAATCTGAATGGGGACATGGTGAAGATATTACCTCTTTACCCTCTTAACCTTTGTTGACTCTGCCTCTGTGAAAACCAGTCTCTTCTCTGTCAACTCCTGTAGCCACCATTTGGATGACTTGAGATTCCAAATGTTTTGTCATTTAATCTTTTTTTATTCAGTTCGGGTTGGTCTCCATTCTCTTTTATCAAAGGATAATTTAGCTTTGTCATAATAGAAATTAAGTTTGAGGATTTTCATCAGCATTTGCTTTATGAGTTTGCGTTTCACCTCCTGAGTTTCCATTGTCTATCATATACAGGCATTGCCTGTTTCTCAAGTTTGTCTTTTTAAAATTTATTTTATTATGAACTATCAATTTTCATATTTTTTTAATTATTGCATTTACACATTCAGAATTGAAGTATTTCATTATTGCATCTCACTGAATACTGAATTTCCCTGCTATCTTGATCTCTCCTTTTTTCTTGAAGCAAATGGAACATTTAGAGTCACTTATTTCTTGTAATCATTTTTGGTTTTAGAACTTTGTGTGCATTAACTTGTTTTTAGAGGTTGTTTTCTGTGTACAGTTAGAACCAATTTAATTACTCTGGAATAAGATTCCATTACTTGATATTTCTGTTTCACGAAAGGTCAAAAGCAGCAAGCTACTGCCTCACTAATGGCCTTGGACAGAATTAACTATGCGATGGCATCCTGCCAAAAGGTCCATACCCACTGAATGGAATGAACTAGTAGATAAACTGAGAGAACTCTGAACTATAGCTGAATCCTGAGGCAGAGAAATATAAGGTGTTCAGACTTCATCTTAAGGTAGTACTGGGTGAGCTATTGATTGGTCTGTCTTCTGTAACAAAGGATAAAGGTTTTATAGACTAGGTATTTGAGACAGTCACCTTAGGTAAATGATTTTCTGCTTTACATAGCACCTGTGGGAATTATTCAGTGGTGGCTGATCTGTTCTAGCGGTTCAGAGATAGCTTTTATTCAAAAATGTCTGACTTAGGCAGGTATGGAAAGTTGGGCCTTCCCATCCCGGTGTATTCTAAACACCTCTATAGCATGTTCTCTGCAGCAGGGTATTCAGATTGCATAATGGTAGCTCCAGGAGACAGGGCACAAGGAGACAACCTTTGGAGAGTCTTGAGAATAACTGGGGCTATAGCCCTATAGAGTCACCTGAAATTGCTTTATTGAGAGATTTTTTGACGTTTGCATTTAATAGTCTCTTCATAATTTCTTTCGCAGCTTTTAGTTAAAAGTTAACTCTAACAGTTAACTTTTGTGTCAGTGATTCTTTTCTTAAAATTTTATCCTGTTGTAAAATCTAACCAGTGATAGTTTAATGAAATTTATGCATATGAAAAAAAACAATGTAGCAAACACAAATGTACTTTTAAATCCAAAGATACTACTAATACTGTTGAAATGGGTAAAACCTTACCTTTTGGTATCCTCTTTTTCTACAGGGATAACCACCATTCTTAATTTCATAGTTATCATTCCCATACATTTCTTTATACTTTATTCTTTGTGTTTGTGTCTCTGAACTCTGTGTAATTTTTGCATGTTTTAAACTTACACATCATGTCATACAGTATTTGTTCTTCTGGAACTTAATTTTCATTCTTACAGCATTGTTTGATAGACTCAATAATGTTGATAAAAATAGCTTTAGTGCTTTTATTTTTCATTCTCATTTAATATATTCAATAGTAATACACTACCGTTTACTAGTACATTCCCTTTGTGAAAATTTAGCTTAGGTTATATTTACGTTGTTTGGTGAATTGGTTTTTTTTTTTTTTTTTTTTTTTAATAATTGAAACGAAACATCTAAAATCGCAGCTTCTGCAGGAATAATTTATTCTTGCCAGTCTTGTACCTCTTCTTGAATTTGAGTTTGGCCTCTTGTCACGCCTTGCGTTTAAGAGCAGGATCTCTGAAGACATCCTTGTTGACAACAGTTTAGTCCAAGCGAATGGGCATGAGGTGATTGTAGCTTACAGACTTTTCACAGAAGGCTTGCTCTTTGACCTTTTGGCCATTTTCTTCTTGCCCATCGCAGCTGTCACTTTGCAAGAATAGTGATCCGGCCTCCCTGGTGGCGCAGCAGTTGAGCGCTGGGTTGTGAAGCTGCCCGCAGCTTCTGCAGCGCAGGTTCAATCCCTGGCTGTCCGGTGAGGGTCCCACATAGACCTCTCCTGCCGCCCGCTGCTTCCCTCAGCAGTGTACTTCGTCAGCCTGCCTGTTCTGCTCTCCGCTCTGGCTCTGGTGAATTCTCTCACCCTCCTGCACTTCTGACTGTACCCAGTGCTTGTATAAATAAATAAATAAAATCTTTAAAAAAAAAAATATTGCTCAATTCCACCCACCAGAGCATAAGGTGATCTGAGGTCCCCTCATCATTGTTTTTCACAAGGACCCCTTTGTCCAGAGTAGTATCTGGCCAAGACTAGTACCACCTGCCCAGGTTTCATGAACTTGCCTGTTTTCACAGCAACCATTTGGGCCTACAATAAAAATACACACACACACACACACACACACACACACACACTTTTTTTTCCAACTTTTAATATTACTACTCAAATATTTTAGTATGTCTAGTATTGCTACTATGAACTTCTTTTCAAAAGTACATTGCCTGTGTATATATGAGGGTTTCTGTAGGGCAGAGGTCAGCAAACTTTTTCTGTAAAGGACCAAAGAGTGAGGAGTATCTTGAACTTTGCAGTCCAGATTGTCTCTTTCACAGATATTCAATGCTGACATTTAACAAGAATGCAGTCATAGATAATTCATAAGCAAAGGATACTGAAATTTGATTTTCATATAATATGCATGTTATGAAATCTTCTTTAGAATTTTCCCCCACCATTTAAGAGCCATTCATGGGCCTTATAAAAAAGAGGCAGCAGGACAGATTTGGTTGACTTATATGTTCTTGATACCTGATCTCATGTATCTTTTAATAATGGAATTGTTGGATTATAGGGCATGTGCAAATTCAACTTTCCACAGGTATTGCCAAATTTATCTCCAAAGTGGTTCCACTAGCAGTTTTCAAGTTTTCCTGATTATGCCATTCCCTTCTTGATAATGTCCCTACAGGTTTTAGTTTTTGTCATTCTCATGGATTTATCAGATGGTGGTTTGAATTAATAATACTCTTGTTTACAGTGAGGTTGCATGTCATCATTGCTTCATTATAAAAAAATTGTTCCTTCATTGACATTCAAAAAATATTGAGCACCAACCTAGACTTAATTCTTATTCTTTGTGCTTGGAATGCATGAGTAAACTAAACAAAATACCCTACAAGTTTCTTTTTGTGTGTCTTCTCTATTCTTAATAGCTTGTTTTATACCTTTAGTTAGTCCATTTTGTTTTTCAATTGGAATGTTGGGTTTTTTAATATATTCTGGAAAGTAGACTTTGGTTGTTAAATTATATGAATTGAACATATAGTCTGTGAAATTTTAACATTATTGTTTAAATGGATGAAATTATTTTATGAACAGAATTTTTTAATGTTTAATCACTTGTCCTTTTTTAAATGTTCTTGTATTTTTTGTGATATGACAACTCCTTTGGTCTTACTAGTCTTTTGCATTACCACTTTTTTTTTTTCCTTTCATTAATTTCTGTTTATTTCCTTAGTTTTTATGATAGCAGAAAAGTAGCAGTTATAGGGTGGGGTAACAATTTATAGTATATAGTATATTTTCTTTACACTTTTAAAAAGTTTAAAGGTGTTATTAAATACTTGAAAACCATGTATTTTATATGAGATTAGTATCTAAAATATACAAAAATTCATACAACTCAATAACAACACAGCTATCCCCCCGCTCCCAATAATACAAGTAAAAAAATGGGCAGAAGAACTGAAATATTTTCCCCACGATGTATGAATAACCAATAGGTACATGAAAAAGATGCTCAACATCACTAGTCCTTAGAGAAATCAAAACTGCAAGGAGATAATTACCTCACTCCTGACAGAATGGCTGTCTTCAAAAAGACCAGAAATAACAAATGCTGTAGGGATGTAGAAGAAAGGGAACCCCTGTGCACTGTTGCTGGGATTATAAATTGGTACCGCCACTGTGGAAAACAGTATGGAGGTTTATCAAAAAAATAAAAATGAATTACCGTATGATCCAGCAATTCCACTTACAGGAATATTTCCAAAGTAATTGACAACAACGGTTTGTTAAAGAGATATATTTGCATGTCCATGGTCATTGCAGCATTATTTACAGTAGCTAAAACAACTGTGAACAGATGAACAGTTAAGGATATTGTGGTTTATGTATACATAATGGAATATTTATTCAACCATTAGAAAAAAGAAATCCTGCCATTTGCAGTACCAACATGGAAGGACCTTCAAGTGCCAAATGAAGTAAGTCAGAGAAAGACAAATCCTTTGTGATCTAACTTATATGTAGAATCTTCAACAACAAAATCCAAATTCACAGAAAAAGAGATCAGATTTGTGGTTACCAGAGGTGAGGTATGGGAGTGGGGAATCGAATGAAGATGCCAATCATCCACTTATAAGTACTGGGGATGTAATGTGGTAAATATAGTTAACACTACTGTATGGTGTTTGAAAGTTGCTGAGTTGTTCAATTCTGAGAGTTCTCATCACACGTGAAATAAACCATTTTTTTTCTTTATGAGATGATGGTGGTTAACTTACTGTGGTAATATTGTCACAACATATGTAAGTCAAGTACTATGCTTTAAATCTTAAACTTACACACTGTTACATGTCAGTTGTATTTCAGTAAAACTGAGGGGAAAAGCCTTTTTTCCTTAACTATGCAGTTCCTTTTTAAAACTTATTTTTAAGAGCAGTTTTAGGTTGACAGCAAAATTGAAATAAAGGTACGGAGATTTCCAGTATACCTACTACTGCCTCACATTTGCATAAACTACACCATTAACAGCATCTCTCACCAGTGATACATTTGTCACAAATTTTAAACCTATTTTGACACATCATAATCACTCAAAGTCATGTTTTGGTCATGGTTCACTTTTAATGTTGTATAGTCTGGGTTTGGATGAATTTATAATGAATGGCATGTATTCATCATTATAGTATACAGAATATTCTTATTGCCATGAAAGTCTTCTACGCTCTGCCTATTCATCCCTCAACCTCCCATGCCCAACCCACTCCAGGTTGCTATTTTTTTTTTTTTTTTTACTGTTTCCATAGTTTTCTTATGCTCCACTTTTGTTTTACAGATTTCTTTGTTATAATTTATCTTTACTCATTAGCAGTTATCACTTTCATAAGATTATTTTTCTTTTACTTACAGGTAAATAAATCTTGATTAGGAAATCATGATTAGATTTACTAGAATTGTCTATAAAGAATTTTCGTTTCTTTAGTGTGCAAATAATATAACATCTCTTGACTTTTCACTGCCTATTGGTGTTTTTGTTAACTTGCCTGACTCAGTTGATAGATACTAGTTGCTGGATTAGGAGTCTTTAGGTTAGTAATAATTATGGGTTATAACCTTTTTTACTTTTGATAAGTTTTGAATTATGAAAGCTATTTCACTTAACCCTGTGTTTTTAAAAAACTTGCAGTTTCACCTTACATTCAATTTTTAAAAGAACATTTGGGGCAGTAATTTCATATTTATACAGAAATTTCAAAGATATTATAGAGTTTCTGTATACCATATACCCATTTTCCCCTGATGTTGCCACCTTTAAATTATAGTATATTTTTGAAAACTAGGAAACTGATATGGACCTAATACCTTTAGCTAAACTGCAGGCTAGTCTTGACTTGAATTTTGCTAGTTATTCCACTAAAGTCCTTTTTCTATTCCAGTTTCTAATCCAAGAATAGCACATTACATCCAGTTGTCATGTCTCTTTGGTCTCCTCTGGTACTTGACAATTTCTTGATCTTTTCTTTCTCTCTTTTTCATAACTGACGATTTTAAAGCTTACTGGTCAGGTATTTTGTAGACTTTTCCACATTTTGGGTTTGTCTGATGTTTTCTTATGGTTAAACTGCATATTACGGACTTTTGGGAAGAAGACCACAGAACTGAAGTGGCATTTTCATTGCATTGTAGTAAATGATACATCACTTTTGATGTCTTATTCATCGAACATAATTGTTTGATTGTGGTAGTGATTGTTAGGTTTCTTACTGTCAATTTACCTTTTCCCCTTTTTGTAATCTACTTTTTGAAAATGAGTTTAGTTCCATTGATTATTCAGAGACTTTATGCATCTACCATTGTGAATCCTGTAAGAAAGATGTTAACTTGTCTGACCCTCAGTTGATAGATACTAGTTGCTGGATTAGGAGTCTTTAGGTTATTAATAATTGTAGGTTATAACCTTTTTTTCTTTTGATGTTTTGAATTATGAAAGCTATTTCACTTAACCCTGTGTTTTTAAAAAAAATTTGTAAAACCTTGTGTTTTTAAAAAAACTCGCTTTCCTTCATTTATTTATTTGTTTATACCAATATGGACTCATGAATATTAATTTTATTTGAGGGATTGTAATCTAATACTGTTGTATTATGGGGGTTTTTGTTTGTTTTGCTAACGTTGTTCCACCTTTGTTTGGCTCTTGGGAGGTTCTTTCAGGTTAGTGCCTGTACCTTTTGATATGTTACTATTTTAAAAAAACAACAACCTTGCTGTCTGGTATTATAGAATACTTGAGTCTCATCTTGTTTTCCCTGATGCATACCTAGAATCAGTCATTTCTTTTTGGAACCCTGGTTCCTTTTACTAGAGAAGGGTATTTAGAAGTCAAGATGCTTGACACTTAATAAGTGTGTTTTTTGCTACTGAAGTGTTGCTGTGTTTAGACTTTCTCAGTATAGTAGAGTCTTGCTCCTATGCTAACCCACAATACCACACATCTGTATTTTTTTCTGTGTCAATTTATATATGTTATATAAAATCTAACATCATTAGCAATCTCATGAACAACTCACCTTCATCTCTCGCTTACTTAAGTTCTTTGGCAGGGAGAAACCTCACTTACATTATCTACTATTTACCTATTCATTCAACCCCAGTAAAGACATTTCATGTTTGCTCATGATTTCTTCTTCTATGATAGTTTTGGTTGTGAACTCAAGTTCTTTGGAACTTTAAAGATTTGCATTGAAATTTTAATTTTTCTTAGAGAAGATTTATGTTTGAGCTTTTAGTCATTTTGAAACCTTTTTTATTTATTTTTTTTTTTAGATAATAAATTTTATTGTTATATTCCCCATACAATTGCAGCGCTCCCATTCTGACCCCAATCCCTCCCCTCCCACCCCTGCCCCCCTAAAAGTGTCTCTGGTTCATAGTTTTTTGTTGATTTTGATTTTCACTTTCTTATAGTTATTCATTTTCCTGGTCCCTTATTTAAGTTTTCTAGATTCCTGCTATGAGTGAGACCATCCGGTATTTTTCTTTTTCTTTTTGGCTTATTTCGCTGAGCATGATCCCTTCCAGCGCCATCCATGTTGCTGCAAATTGCATGTGTTTATCTTTTTTGAATGCTGAGTAATATTCCATGGTATATATGTACCACATCTTCTTGATCCAGTCATCTATTTTTGGGCATTTGGGTTGTTTCCAAAGCTTAGCAATTGTAAACAGTGCTGCTATAAACATAGGAGTGCAGGTGCTCTTTGGAATTGATGTTTTTGGGCATTTGGGTTGTTGAAACCTTTTTTAAAAGACGGTTTTGTTACAATAAAATATACATAACGTAAAATTTGCCATTTTAACTTTTTAGGTGTAAAATTATGAATTGGCATTAATATGTTCAAGTGTTGTACGATAATTACCATTGTTCATTCCTAGAATTTGTTTATCATTCCAAAATAAATTCTGTACCTATTAAAAAAATAACTCCACATTCTCTTCTCTCTACAGCTCCTGTTTCTGAATTCATCTGTTCTGTGTATTTCATCCAATCATTTATATATCTGGCCTATTTCATACATTGTAATATTTTCAAGGATTATCCATGTTGTAGCATGTATCAGGATTTCATTCCTTCGAGGCTAAATAATATTCCTCTGCACATTTTATTCATATCACTATTATTGTTGTTGTTATTCACATAATAGTCACAGCACATTTTGTTTATTCACCTGTTGGTTGACCTTTGGGTTTTTTCTACCTTTGGATTATTGTGAATAATGCTATGTGAATACTGGCATACAGAATCTGAGTCTATGCTTTGATTATTTGGGTATATACCTGGAAGTGGAATTGCTGTATTTTTAAAAATTATTTATTTATTTATTTATACAAGCACTGGGTACAGTCAGAAGTGCGGGAGGGTGAGAGAATTCACCAGAGCGGGGAGCAGAGCAGACAGAAGGACCGAAGTACACTGCTGAGGGGAGCAGTGGACGGCAGGAGAGGTCTGCGCGCCATGTGGGACCCTCACCCAGTGGCCAGGGATCGAACTGGTGCTGCAAAGGCTGCAGGCAGCTTCGCAACCCAGCGCTCAACCGCTGCACCACCGGGGAGGCCCTGGAATTGCTGTATTATGTGGTGACTCTGTGTTTAACTTTTTGAAGAATTGCCAAACTTTTCCCATACCAGCTATACCATTTTACATTCCCATCAACATTGTATAAGAGCGCCAGTTTCTCCACATCCTTATCAATACTTACCATTTTCCATTAAAAAAAATAGCCATCCTAGTAAGTGTGAAGCAGTATCTTCTTGTAGTTTTGTACTTCTGTCATGTCTGGTAATGTTGAGCATCTTTTCTTGTATTCATAATTTTTCATACTGGCTTTTCTGGGCCACATGAAAATTCTGGTCCCAAACCTGAGTAATTGCAAGGCTTTGGGTAGGAATTTTTTAGCCATGAGTTAGATACACTTTGTCATCATTTCAATCTAAGAGTCCAGCATAAGACAGCACAGTTATTCCCACTGTTTCAGCAGGGAGTTCCTTTTATTCTCCTTGTTTACCCCACCAGGAGTGTTGCCCCTTCAGGTGTTCTAGTCTTCAATCTGACCTCTTTTTTTTTTCAGGTCAGGGTAATTTTTTATTGCAGGTCTCCTTTAGTATTGGCTAACAGAAAAACCTATCCCCAACCTAACAGATTACATAAATCCACACAGCTGTTCCCACACTTCCTCACAGTGAAAAGCTCTCTGACAAGATATCAGAAGGTCTGACCTCTCATTTTGGACCATTAAGTTTTTGTCACTTGGCTCCAGGGTAATACCAACTTAAGGACTTCATTTATCTCTCCAGGTTCCCACTTTCTAGTTGTTTATAGGTTTAGGAGGTTTTATCCATGCATGCAGTTATAAAATTTTTTGAACTCCAGTGTTTGGTGTTCTTATCTAGAGAATTTTTTTGGACATTGAGTACACCATATTGCCAGTGCAGGAAACTTTAATTTTTGTTTCTCTTCTTTTAAAAGGCAGAGATATTTGAGGCAAAGAAAAGGATAGTGGTCTGGATGTAGTCCTTATAAATAAGCAAGCAAACTACAAGGGCTGACTTACAGAACCAGTGACCAAGTGTGGAGATACAGGGTTGATTTTTATATATTTCATACATATTCCTGTGTCTACCCCAATTTTATTATAGTTTAATATGAGTATTTTTTTCTGTCACAAACTCACACATGAATGACTGTAACTCGCAAAACCAGATTTTAATATGTTCTTTTTCTTTTTAGAGAAAACAAGAATAAACAACTAATACAGTCAAAAGGCAAGCACATCAAAATCTAGAATAAGCAAAGAGCTTGGGAAATCTCAATTTTATTTTATGTTGAATAGCTCTATTAAAGTACTTATCTCAGTTTGTTTTTATTTCAGCTTTGTCTAGATCAGAGTCTAAGAGAGATGGAGGTTTTAAAAATAATTGGAGCTTTGATCATGGAGAAGAAAGTGAAGGAGATACAGATAAAGAGTAAGAACTTTTTTTCCCTCAGATATAAGAATGAAACTTTTCATTAGAAGAACAATTTATATTCCATTGGAAATATATTTTAAAGTGTGGTATTCTTAAAATATTGAACTCTTTTACAATAGCATTAAGGAAAGAAAAAAAGGAATTCTTTATTGGTAAATAATTTTGCTGTCCTATTTCTCCATCTTTTGAAATGTATAAATTTGTATAAAAGTTGTTCTTTTTTAAAAATACGGCATTCAGTTCAGATAGTGATTTGACAAGTCACCATTTATCAGTAGTAAGTGAACCAGGTTAAGACCCTTGAATTTTGTGAAAGGTTAAATCCCAAAGTATCTTCTCCATTGTGACCCTCTCCAGCACCATCACCACCACATCAATCTTAGATCAGTTTCCCACAGAGAAAGGCAGAAACTATAAATGATAAACACAGTTGTTCACCCAGACAGAAGATAAGCAAAATTTTAATTATATTTTGTTAATGTTCTTGGAATGGCTACTGTGTAAAAATTTTAAGTCATAGTTTTAATAGAACCTTTTGCATGTCATGAGATTTGTATTATCAATTCAGCATTGCTTTTATTAGTTTCTTGATATTGATTTGGTTTTCCACTGGCCAGAACAAACAGCAAATTCAGAGACACACCAATATACACACTAAGTTCTATCTAAACTAATAAATATTTTTTAGAAATTTTACACAAGAAGTCATTCAGAATATATTGGCTAAATATTGTAGGTGCTTCACTTCTGTCTGGGCAACAGCTCCGTTCATCATTACTACTTTATGTGCCTTCACCTATGAGATGTTGAACTGAAGTGAAGTTTTATTTGAAGGAGAGCTTTGAACTGGTAAGTTTCTCACACAAAATCACTACTTTATGGTCTTCATTTTATTTCCTTTTTTAAATTTCTGATTATTTTTCCATTAAAAAATTTTTTCATTGCAGACATTTAGTTGTGCAGGTTTTAAAAATTGTAATTAAATTTGGAATTCAGTTGAATAGACTGTATACCACTTAGACATTTTTGTTAAATATATGGAAAGAGAATTTTTAGCATTGAAGTTGAGTATAAATAGTAATAAAAGAAATGTTTGAACTGGTAAAATCAAGTGGATATTACAAAAATAGCAGATTTGTTTTCAGAAGGGTGTATTTTTGACTGTTTTTGTTAGAACATTTGTCATGGCCATGTTTAAAAAAATTGTCTAAGATACTCTGTCCTTTATGTTTTATTTATGAATTACACTTTTTCGTTCATCACTGTAAGTGGGTCCTTAGGGGCTTCATCTTTTTAAACATGTAGAGATTAACATGAACTGTTGAGAGATCTATTAGTCAGATCTTTTAGAATCTCAGGCCAGTGATTCTCTGAGTAGTGTTGATATTTCCAGGCATAGAAGAAGTATAACTATTTTACTATGGTAATATCACTGGAATTACTTCCTTTTCTTTAATTAAGGTTTTCTTACCAGTTTGTTCCTTCAATGTTTTGTTTCTCTGCCCTTTTTTCCTTAATTTTAAATGCACGAGTGAAAGAAAAATTGAGTAGCCATATATGAAATATCCTTAGTTTAAAGAAATTTATGTGTTCATTTATGGCAGGGATCAACAAACTATGACCCACAGGCTCAATCTGACTTACCACTTTATTTTATTAATGGTTTTATTAGAACATAGTCACATTTGTCATGGCTGATTACATACTACAGTGGCAAAGATTAGTAGTTGCAACAAAGGTTGTATGGCCTGCAAAGCTTAAATAAAGTATTTACTCTCTGGCCCTTTACAGAAAGAGTTTGCTGATCCCTGAATTGGGTGAACAAAGAAGATAAAACATGAATTTAATGTATGGGTTATAATTGTCACTTAAGGTTTTTTCCCCCCTTATTTTTCATATAGTGAGGCAAATCTACTCAGTGTAGATGAAGATGAGGATTCTGAAACCTCAAAAGGAAAAAAGGCAAGTGTTGCTTTACAATTATTTATTTTTAGGTTATAAAACTAAAAACTAATACCTCAGAAGAAGATTTGTGTATTTAATTGTTCAAGTCCTACTCCCTGTATTTCCCTACCCTAGAGGCAAAAGTATATTCCCATATCTTGTTTGTCTTTCCAGGGGTATTTTACATTTACTCTCAGTATTACTCACAGTGTTATCAACGTTTTGTGTATTACAAAGAAAATATTTTCACCTATTCTCACACTTATACAACATACTTCACACACCATAAATTCTTTTTATCTTTATATATCTTAGAGACCATCCATAAGAGTTAACTAAAAGCACCCACATTTTTTTTCACCAGATGGACAGTGTTCCACTATATTTTATGTGCTATTATTAACCACTACCACTACATTGAAGGACATTTATGGTGTTACTAACCATTTTCAGCCTAACTTAAATACTGAATGTTAGCTGTATAGGTTATTTTGCACACTTACAAGCATATCTGTTGAATGAATTCCTAGAAGTAGAGCTGCTGTATCAGGACAGGTGCATTTCTAATTTTGTTATACCTGATTGCACTTTTACCAGTGATATCTGAGAATGCCCATTTACCCACACTTTTGTCACAGTGTTACCACCCATTTGACTTGCAAATAAAATCATAGTATCTTATTGTAGACTTAATTTGCATTGCATTTTTTTATGAGTGAGATTGAACACCTTTTCATGTATGCTCATTTATTTCCTTTTTTGATAATTGTAAGGTAATATCTTTTGCCCATTTTTCTGTTTGGTCTTTGGAATAATTACCGATTTGTGGGAAATATTTTTATACTGAAATGAAAAACTTTTTTTTTTTTCATTTTCACATCTCTGAATTCTAGTTTTAACCTATAATGATGGCATGATATGGCTTAATTAAAAGAGAAAAAAATTGCACACTACTACATTTAATGAAGCTTCTTCTAGTGATTTCCTGAATTGGATAAAATTTGGTATTTGAAGAAACTGGCCTATTACTATAATGTAGGTAGCCCCTACATTATACATTCCTATTTTATGTGAATTGGTAGGTTATTTGGGGAGGGAAAGGGAGAGCTGGCAATGTTGTTACTATTACTTTATATGAAAAAAAATTTGAGCATTTCCAGATCCCAAAAATAACTCATTAAAATTAAACCAAATAGGTACTTCCTACTTCTGGAAAACCAGGGTAACTTGTACTAGTTGCTAATGTTTGAAACCATTTCTTCACTAATCTTTTGTCTTTACCTTTGGTGTTTATTCCTGTTATTTTTTTTAGGTTCTCTTTTTTTTTTTTCCTTTTATGTCTTTTGGGTTCAGTGTCTTAGTTTTTAACTATGTTAACTTAATTGCTCTATACTGATAGATAAATTATTTCACAATAATATACAAAATAATTACGTGATAGCCTTTCATTGTTTGTCATAATACAAGGATATACTACCCTTCTTGGAGAAGCTAGCCACGCTAGTTTGTTACCTTGAATATTTTACTTAATAATACAGTGTGTAGATAATACTACAGAGCAAAGTATTTAAAGATCCTCATCTCTTTTACTGCCACATAATACCCCAATAAATGGATAAATTGTAGAAATTCATTTGGTCTCCTGTTGATGAACAGGCTTTTCCAGTCTTTTGTTATTATAAACAGTGCTTTAATAAAACCTTGTGCCTATGTCTTCCTGTATCTTTACAGTATATTTGTGGGCTAGATTCCTAGAGCTGTAGTTGCTGTTTCAGAAGGTAAATTCATATGTAATTTTGCTAGAAATTGACAAATGCCTCTTTCATAGGAGTTGGCATTTGCCATCCCTGGTTGTAATATATGAGAGTTCCTATTTTCCTGTAATCTCTGGGGAGTGTGTGGTCAGACTTCAATTTTTGCCAGTCTGTCATAGCACCCTTTTCACATATTTCCTATACTTTGAGTAGTTTTTTAGGGACTTTTAAATTTACTCCCCTACTGCCATCTTTGTGGGTTTCTTTCTATCTCTATTTTTTCATAAAAAATTTATAGAATTTGAAGTTTTTCTTGCTATATGGTTTTTCACATCGCAGTTTTCTCTAGATTTTATTTTAACATCTTGATTCCGTGATGTGCTGCCATTCAGATGTATCTTTGGTGGACAGAAAAATAGTGAATTTAGTAGGGAAAAATAAGTCTTTCATCATTAAATTATATGATAGTGGCCTTTTTGTTTGTTTGTTCTAGATGCCCTATATTTTTTTCAAACAGTATATGCCTAATTACACACTTTCAAGGATGTGAATGTTGATGTGTTAAAATAAAACTTATTCAGTGATCTCTAAAGATAATTCTGATTTGATACTTAGCAACATTTATTTTAAAAGTACATGTATCATCTTTTTTTTAACAGTTCAAAATTTTATGTTGTGCCCTTGAGTCCTTAAATTCCTAAGTCTAAATTCCTGCAGAATTTTGACTTCATTTTTCCCCATATATGTAAGCATCATATTAATGTATTTTTATGCAAATGAACCTCCTAATTATCCTATCATACTTCAATAAAATGGTATGCAGTAGCTGAAATTTAACATTAAGTAACATTCTTACCCAAACATTCCAAGTACTTGTTTTCTTGTATAGTTCTTGTATATATATCTACAACTATATTGTATATATATCTACAACTATATATATCTACAATATATTGTAGGTATTTATAGTTATTAAACTGGTTGTGTACAATTACATTGGAAATATATCTCCTAAGGTGGATGACACTGGTATTTTCCCTTTATATTTATTTAGTCTGTGTATCCATGAATAAATAGTATTTATTAGTAGAATGAAACTTTTATCAGCAAAGTTCTTTTCAAATATTCTGTGTTAACTTACATCTTCATGACAACCATTTTACAGAATTCTTAGAAGAACATGTATGGCCTTGTTTTAACTTGAGTTTGTTGAATGGTTATAATAAGACACAGCAGATTTCAGACTTCTTTCAAAATAAACTATGATTTCTTTGAGTTGTTCTTACTTGACTTTCTTCTTGGGGCAATGTTTTTCTTGATAATAATTGGAGTAGGAGCTGGAAAGTCAGTATATGCAAATTTTGATACTTTGCTTTTCCATTTTATAATGTTAAATTAAGAAGTGAATTAAGAAAATACTATTTTGGTCTAGAATACCCAACTTCTAACCCAACCCATGTTTCACATTTAACATAAATATATATTAAAGCAGAGAAAGATATGAAGCCCTGCCATTCTTTTATGTGCCTGCAGAGATTCAGATTGTTCTTGGGGGAGAGGGGTTGATGTGAGGGGCTAGACTGTAATTCAGTAGATGAAAATTATGTCCTTTTTTTGGTAATGTAGAAAAAATCATATTGTGAAAGAGGAGACAGGAAATTTTGCATGATGCCTCTTCTAGGGATGGGTTTTTTAAGGAAGTAATTTTAATAAAATGGAAATCTAGGGTTTTGATTTTCCTTACAACTATCCGTGCCTGCGTGTTCTTTAGAAAGTCTTTATCCCAGGAGTTTACATATCCCTGCCTGGATTTTGAATGGCTAGTGGGTAATTTATCAATTCATATGGATCATTTATTTAAACTAATATAGCTGCTTTTTTTCACTTGAAAATGAGCATGAAATTAGAAGAAAGCTTGTGTTTGGTTCAGAGTATCATAGTATTTTTCAAAGACGCCTTTGGACTCCTGCAGTTTCCTTGTGACTTTTTAGGTAAGGGATGCATGTCTTTCAATAATTCTGGAAAATTTTAGCCACTATCTCTCACTGTGGATATTACATTCCTGTGTTGTTTTTTTCTGGAGTCTCCAATAGACATATGTGTTGAATACAGTGTTCTCCATGCTAGGGAATAAAACAGACACATATTTTTTTGTTCCTATGTAGTTTACATTCTAACAACCGACTGTGCTCAGTAGTTATTAAATGATTAATGTATAAGATAGGACTGGCAAACCAGGGCAGAATTCATGGATCAGATCAAGTCTCCAACCAAAGGTTCATGAACAATAATGGTTTTTCATATTTTTGAATGGGTAAGAAAAATCAGAAGAATACTAATTCATGATGTGAAAGTTACATGAGATTCAAATTTGTGGCCATAAATAAAGTATAATTGGAAAACAGGCATGCTTATTTATGTTTTTTCTGTGGCTGTTTTTATGCTGCAGCACTGAACAGTTTCAACAGAGATTGTGACTCAAAAAACCTAAAATGTTTGCTATCTGGTTCTTTACAGACAGGCTTGCTGATTCCTATACCATTTGTTTATACTGTGTAAATGTGTTCTATAAAGACTGATAATACTGGGCCTCCCTGGAGGTGCAAGGGGTTAAGATACAACCTACGAAGCTATCCACAGCCACTGCAGCACGTGTTCAGTCCCTGGCCAGGGAGCTACCCACATGGCTCAGCAGACCTCTCCTGACTCGCTCACTGCTCCTCTCAGCAGTGTATTTCAGTCAGTCTGTCTGTTCTGTTCCCCGCTCTGTCTCTGGTGAATCCTCTCATCCCCTACACCTCTGGCCTGTATCCCATTTCTTACGTGCATAAATAATCTTTGGGAAAAAAAAGATTGATAATACAGTTGAGAGAAACAGAGCTCTTTTGGATGGGTGGTATGGTAATCATTCAGACTCTCATATTCTATGCTAATAACTTTCCAATTTATGGAATGGTTGATAATTATGAGAGTATAATTCACATAGTGAATGATAAATATGAGTATAATTCACATAGTGCGTGATACTAGCAAGCCATCCATTAAAAAAGCTACCATATCATTAAATGCAGTGTTAAATTTCATCTTTATGTAAACTGGTTTTCCCCTGTAAATAATGATGTATTTATAGTTCTTTATCTGACGTCAGTAAGACCATATTTGTACTTGGTTTTGTAGTCATGTGATTGTTTTGTGCTGATCCAATCTGTTGTTAGTAGTCCTCCTAATATGTTTGCATTACCAAGATAACTGTCTTGACTAATTAAGAGTTGGACACTTGAAGGAGAATTAAAGGTTTTCAGGAACTTCTATACTAAATATATCGTTTTAACATTGGTAATATAATCTTTGAGATGGTCAGCCATAAATGACTCAGTTTTTTCTTATACCTTAACATCCCTCAATAATTTTATGTAAGCTTATCATGTTAAGAACACAAATAAAATGATGGAGAAATAAAAATTATTAGGCAGAGAAAAGTAAATGTGTGCCAGCCATCTAAAATAATTTATATGTTGTATTTTAATTCAGCGTTTTTCTCTAAATTTTTTGGTAGTTGGAATGTGTCAGGATTTAATTGCATGAAAAGAGAATTTTTTTTTATAAATTTACATCCTGTGATTCTCCTGTGATTCCTCCCCTCCCCCAGTGTGTTACCTTCAAAATATAAGAATAGTAAGGAATCTGCTAAGGCAATTTGACTTGATGATATATCTATTTTAATTGATATATTTATTTTTCTTGATACGATTATGTATCAGTCACCTAGGACATTGACTTTCCAAGTTAGTATACATCATGATCAACTGGCACATTGGTCAGTTTGTGGAAGCTGAGATGATTGAAAGCTGGATTCAGTCTTTTTAGAGGGCTATTATAGTTTTGAGGTCTTTATGCGGTCCTATGTTCTTGGTAGATTGGATGCCACTTCTTGTCTCCCTTGTTCTCTGGTTATTTTGGAAGTACAGCTTAGTTTCTCAACCTCTCAGCTACGTCTGGAATTAGTAGATGTCTGAGGGAAAAATAAGGGCTCAGATCTCTCTGCCTTTCTTGTCCAGGGAGATCTTAAACTTCCCTGCTTTGGTAATCCTCAAATGCCTCCAACAGATATTTTGTTTTTAATCTGCGCTTTGCTGTTCAGCTTTTCTTGTTGTTTTCAGAGAATAGAGGGAAGGAAAATTGATCTACCAGAAGCAGGGGAATCTAAATATGTGGCTGTAAAAGACTAAGAAGTAATGTCTTAAGGAGAAGGAAGCGATAAGCTGTGTGTCAAAATAAATCTTTTGGAGCTATGTAATGTAGATATGTATGCCTGAAAACAAGATTGGTGCTGGCAGAGTATAGTGAGAGAGATTTTTTTTAGGAAATAGGTAGGTTTTTATAAAGATAATTGGGGGAAAGCTAAATTGCTGTCTTCTTTTGACTGTATTTTATTGTAAAATAGGACAAAAGAAAATAAAATATTAGACTATTCTTTCAGAAATAAAATTAAAATAGACAAGAATGATTTTAAATGTTCTGGGGAAATTTTCACTAAGAACTGAGGACATTTGTCTTAGTAAGTCTGAATGCAGTGTTTAAATGTCTTGTGCAGTGAATATAATAAAAGTAGGTTTCTTTGTTGAAAAGAAACAGACCCATCCTGTTGTCCAGCTATGATTTCCCCAAAGTGATTAGTATTGATACAATTATATTATCATTTGCAACTATAAAGGTATGAAGGTTTGGTGTTTTCCCTTCTTTTAAAGGGACACTGATGCTAAGGCCAAAGACCTTGTACAAATTGAAATAACAACTGATAGCCACATTTGGATGTATTTGAAGTATAGGTATCAAGAAGCTGTTAAGGAGAGGAAATTGTTTTTAATTTTTTTCTTTTCAGATATTGCATGAAAAGAAAATAACAAATACCCATGTTCTTACATATTTGTGTTATCCTTAGAAAATACTAAATTATTTTTAGCTACATGTTACTGCCATCTCCCTTTCCCCTCCCTAAAATGGTACATTTTCACTACTGTTACTTATTAGGTAAATGATTTTTAAATAGTTGTTGATAAATTACCACATTGGTGCTTATTGACGCTAATATATATGGATTTTTTTACAGTTAAATCGTCAATCTGAAACTGTTGCTACTAGTTCTGGTGATCCCTGGAAAACATGCACAAGACGAAACAAAGCCGACAGTTCAAAATCTTTGAAAGGCAACTCAATTGGACTTAACATGTTGAGCAACAATAAGAAATTGAGGTATAGGTGTTTTACCATGCATTTCTGCCCAAAAAAAAATAAATAAATAAAGGGTTTGACATCAAAAGCTAATGACCTTTAGGGCCAGTAGCTCAAACCTGTCTTTTCAATGTGTCAATAGGGTCAAGAGGTAGGATGGTCCTATAGTGTGCATATGGATTCTTTGCTTTGAATCTTGCATAGATTTGATTGTAGTAATATCTTGGTTCTGAATGAAAATGTTTTAAGAAAAATCTAAGTAGACCGGAATTTCTTAAGACAAACTTATACAGTCAGTAAAATCTCAGAGACAAGTCTAAAAGTAGAAGGCACCATAAAGTGGAGTGGTCATGTCTTCTTTAGGAATTTTATCAGGGACGTTCAAGGAACTTCTTATTCCTGATCTTTCTATATATAATCACTGTTCATAGAAGTTGTTATGGTAAGCCATTGTTAAGATTGGGCTGTATCTCCCTGAAATAAGGTTGGAAATCACTATTCAGTTTCTTTTTTGCCAATTTGTAGGTAGATAGCTGAGGTACATAAAAACTAAGTAACTGTCTAGTCAGTAACAGAATTACAAGTAGAATTTAGGACTCATGGTAGTTTTTTTTAAATACTGTTTTACCTTTATTTTGGCATATAAGAAAACATTGTAACATTCAAGGTTTAAAAGCCTTTTTTTTGTGTGGCTAATCCCTATGAGGAAAGAAAGTATATTTGAGTTAATTTATAGGAAATCTTACATAGTACAGTACATTCATTTAGGATTCCTGGCTTCTGTTCTACTTTTATCTTCTTTCATGAACTGGTTTAGAAACATTTCAGAAACAAGTTCAGGAAGTGGGAAGTCATAATAGAGAATTTAACATGGGCAGTTGGATTTTTTCATAAGTAAATCCATATTTTCCTAATGGAAAAGGTTTTGTGTGTTTCTGCTCAGATTTTATGTACATGCATGTGTAATTTTCGCATGTTCACATTGATCTTTGTGTCTTAAATCTGCAGTGAAAATACACAAACTGTATCATTATGTTCTGGAGCTGTGGTTCTTGGTAGACGTTTCCAGCATGCTCTTCTACCAACAATAAAAACAGCAGCCCAAAGGTAAGGAAAGATTCTACTTGCCTTTGTTTAATATCTAAATACTACATATTTAATATATACATTTTCCTCTTTAATAGGTTTTTTTTTTTTTTTCCACTTTAACCAGTTTTTTTCTTTTGTGGTTCTTTGCTGTGTTTCCATTATATAGAGATTATCACATGTCTCCAAAATAATTCATGTCCTAAAATTTTATTATTTTATATCTGCTTTTGAATAAATGACATTATGTAAATAGACTTTTAAAAATAAAGTCTTCCTGTTGTATTTTATTTTAGTTAAACTGATTGTACAACACTGATCTTAAAGCAATATTTGACAAGAAATCTTCACCTGATAATTTAGTTCTGATGAATAAAACTAGTTACTACATATTTTTTAATAAGCATATAGGAATTCATAGTATCAAAATAAACTACATGACTAGTTTTAAATGTTTGAGATAATTTTATGTTTGAGATTTGGATATTTTCATTGATTGTGAAGGTACTGTATGAACTTTGAAGTAAGGGAAATAATAGTTGGGGAAAACTTGATCTTTTAAATGCTTTTGAGGTTTTCCATAATTGGTTTGGGGTAGTTATGCAGTTTTAGTTGAATTTTTACATCTAAGTCAATTTCAGTTAAATCAGAAATTCTCAGGCTCCAATAACAGTTATCTTTTTATTTCTTACATTATGAATAGCATAAAATTTTTTATAACATTTAAAAATTTGGCTTATGTGTAAAGATGTAGTTCTTCAGTTTTAAAACATGGCAATCTAGACTGCTCCTTATTCAGAAAATGTGTCCTGACTTCTTGCTAAATTTGATATTTAGGTAGATCTGCTGTTACATAGATTTTCTACTCAAAAACCCTTAATCTGTCTCATACTTTAGGATAAGAAAACCTTTTCTTTTGCTTAAGTATATTATCATAGTTACACAAGATATTTATACAAAAATTGATTTATCCTACTGTAAAGTACACAAATCATGTGCTCTGGTATATTTGAGGCACAAACATGAAGCATAAATAATAAAAATAAGAGTAATTGGGGAAGGAAAGAAGAAGAAACAACTCACACATTGTTTCTCACACAGACTGCATTGACAGATCAATTGCTGATAAAGATTTGTCTTATATTTTCTGAAAATATGGTCTAAGTCGAAATGCTAACTTATAATTTACAATGAAGTTAAGGGATATATTCTACACTTAAAATTATTAATTACTTTGGAAATTTCCTATTAATTTGGAAATATTTGCACTGTGACCTATTCACCCATCCTTTCCTCATTGGTAAGCCAGTTCCAGTCTAGAAACTGGTTTGTGTTTTACTTTATTTTAGATTTTGACACTTACTGTACTTTGCTTCTGTATCATTGCTCATTTGCATACAAAATTATATTCTGTTAGTAGGAAGTGGTATTTACTAGTAAAATATTGTTGTTGGTTTTATTTTCTAAAAAATACCCTGAATTGTACTTAAAAAAAACAATCCTGAGTGAAAAATACTTGACAAGGTTAGCAAGGAAAATGGTGATGTCAAGTCACCAGGGTAGATAATTTAATGCTTGTTTCTTAATTAGAATAAACTTTCTTATTCCTAGAGCAATATGATTTTCGTTTAAAAATTTTGAAGTTTAAAGACAAGAAATTGAGTTTTTCTACTTTTCTTTCTTTAAAAATACTGAGTGATTTTGTGCTATGTATGGGTGAGATACAAAGTAGTCAAAGATGAATATGACAAAATCCTGCTTTGAAGCTCTGGTTTGGTTAAGGTAGATATTAAAGATAATTAAGAAGGGTAGTAAACAATTGATTACATGGTAAGTATTGTAGTAGAGATGTACAAAGTATGTGTAGTACTGTTTATAGAATAGGGAGTAAGGGAAGAATTCACAGAGAAAGTATTAACAGAAATTTTGAGTATACTATCTGGAAGAGGGTACTCCATGCAGTAGGAACTACATCTTTAAAGATTTAAAAAAAAAAAACAAAAAAAAAACTTAAGGTGATTGCTAACCAAACCTTTGGTTTTAATTAGTGTAGTGTTGGCACAATTTCAAACCTCTAAGTTTTCTTATTTTCTGAATTCTTAATTTGAACTTAAAGGAAACATCCTCAGCTGGTAATTCACACAACGTGGTTTGTCATTTTTGGGAGTATGTGAAATAAACTGTGTTTTAAATAAATCAGACCCGAATTTTGAATAACTTGTATTTCTTCTATAAGCTGTAGAAACAAGTACTTCATACCTTTTTAATCTAAAAGGAATGAATGAACATTATTAAAGAATCTTACCTGATTAGCCACTGTTTGGGAGCTAATTAAGATTCCAGGGTTTCTGTTTTTGTTTTTTCACTGCTATTCCCAATGATCATTCATTTTAAAAGAAAGATTGTTTATATCCCATTAGTGATGGAGGAGGATAGTATTAGTATGGGAAAAATAAAATGCAGAAATTTAACAATCTATGTAAAACTATACCATGTCCATCCCTAACTTTAATCAGACTTTTGCAAAAAGTGTGCATTTTAGTGGTTTATGGTTTATTTACATTTTCATTTTTTGTTTTTGTTTTTTTCTATTAAGGATAAGTGAAAAGACTTGTAAGGACCATAGGGGAATTGAATATCAGCAAAAGCACATATAATCCATAAGTGGGAAAATGGGCTCCTGGAATAATAAGCAAGACTTAATTATTAATGAAAAGCACCACTTTGAAATAGTTTTTGAAGTCATAAATCAGGTTATGGACACCAGAATCAGTCTATCTTTTTTCCTTATTAAAAAATTTTAAGAGTACTAGTACAGCACTAGTTCAAGAATGAAATAGTCCAACAAGAATGTAAGCTGACAATTTTACAAAGTCCTACATTACTAATATGGCTTTTCTTCCCATCTTTAAAAAAATATATAAATCCTTTAGGGCAGGACTTGTTAATAAGCACATACTGAAAAATCTAGTAAAGGTGCAATGACTTTTATAAATTAGGTAACATAATTACATTTTTCTCAAGGATAAGAAAAATAAGCATGGGTATGTGTATATGTATGAACACATACATACATACATACGTATATTTGTCTTTTGTTTTTCTCCTAACTCCCTTGGTTTGTCGGAGAGAACCAAACCTGTTTCTTCTACTGTTACTCTCTCTCTCTTCCTCTTTCCTTTACCCTATACAGGTGAGTTTATAAGACAAGAGAATCCTAAAGTTTTTTCACTTTTTAGGCACAACATGTGGATCAAGTTAGAAATAGCTATTTTAGTTAGTAGTGTCTTACTTTTAGTTTTCATTTTACTTTTCCTAAAGATGTTAACTCCATAAGAAATTAATAAAAGACAACCTATATTTAAAGTTTTATGTTTATATATTTTTTCACTTTAAAAAATGGAGTGTGATGATCCCTCATTTTCCTGTCATTTATCCAGTATAAATTTATTTTATAGACTATTCCTTTTTTTATAGTAGGTATAATTTCAAATATAGTATTTATGTAAATTTATATTTTGAGATGTTTTAAATAATAAGTAGTTCTTTTCAGAATTGTTTATATAAAACCAAGTTGCTATATTTCTTTTTTCTTTTTGTGATTTAAAAAACTGTTCAGCTTTTTGCTTGGTACCTCTGTTTTCTTAATTTGCTAGGATTAAATTGATATTTTTACATAAATAGTCTACACAATAGGAATGCAAGCATTAATATGGAGACTTGGGGATTTTGTAAGCTATGTTTTGTTTACAGTTCTGAATATTTAATTTCTACTAAAGAGGAATAATTCTGGAATTTGTTCTAAGTTGAGGCTTTTTGTAATTTTACTCTTTAGTAATTTATGTTGCTAGCTTTTTAGATTTTCCATGGTCACTGGAGAAGGGTGATCTTTTATGTATTGAACTTTTAGTTAGAGACCATGGTTTTAAGTCACAGACCTTTCCTTATTTCACAGTCCAGTATAATGTATTTAATCAAAAACTTATACAACAGTTTCCACTAAAAAAAAAAGAATTTTTTTCTTACTAATAAGTAATCACTCAGTGACAGGATTGGGACTACTAAGAAATGCTATAATTTCTGGAAATTGTATTACTGTTTAAAGACTATATTCTAAAGTAACATAAATCCTTGAATTTTGATGGTTAAGTAAAGCTTTCAAGAATTGTTTAATCTATGTGTTGACAAAAATTGAAAAGCAATTTTATATATATCTGACAAGAGTAAAAGCATAGTATATAGCATATAATGTGTGTAAAAAAATTAATCACAGTTTTGCCTTATTACCTACAGTTACTAAAGCTACAATGATTATCAAAAATGGGGTCTTGCCTCTTACATTTTTTTTCTTTTTCATGTTTTAAGCAGTGTGGACCAAAAGGAAAGGTAAGCTTAATATGATATAGCAGTAAAATAACAGATTATATGCTTGGAAAAATAGCCATGGAATTTAGAGTTCATCATTAATACTTACTATTTTAATAAAAACAAACTTACTAGTAGCATTACATGGTATTTGATTTATGTGGGTGGTGTTTCAGTATAATTTTTAATACAAATTTTTCCATTAGTGGTTACATTAAATGTAACATGAATTATATATAAGTATAAAATGGCTATTATATATTTATACTGATATGTACCTATTTTCCTTTTAAAGATAAAAATATTTCATTGCCTTTCTAGTGAAATTGCTCTCAATCACATCAAAATCTTGTTATTTTTCAGTGATAATACTTTTGTTTTCAAACTTCAGTAGAGTGAGGAGAAAAATGGAATTTCTAAAAATTAGAATACCTTAAAGTTGGAGTTAAAACCGTAAATATCCAATGTATTTCTATTCTGACCAAAAAATGTCCCAGAATTTTATGATCACCCTTTGTTCCCTTTATATAACACTGACAGACACATAGTCCTTTAACAGAAATGTTGAATAATGTAAATATCATAGAAACAGGTTTTAAGATTACACACTTCTTTGAGTAGTGAAATGGTTGTAATTGTTCTGTAGCAAATGTCCACAAGAAAACCTTTCTTCTCAGTATATGTGTATAGAATTGTTTATGCTTGAGCTTATCTTTTTTGTTGTTTTTGTGAGATTCTCAAAAAGCCTTTTATGAAACATTTCCTGTCCCACCCCTCCAATAGGTTAGCAGTGCTTGGCATCAACTCTGTAATTTTCTTCAAAGGTATAGAGGAGGGCAAAGAAGACAACTTGCAATGTTTTTTTGAATGCATATATATAGATATATTCCATCTTCATGAACACCAACTTTCTGAAATACAAAGATGATTCTGTTAGCAAAGATTTTCATATTTTGTAATTCTTTTATACTTCACAGATCTACATGTTTTAAATGAATGGGTTGTACAGATATTTGACTACCTATCTCCTGGGAAAAAGGAAGTATTTTCCCATTGTGTCAGTTTTTTCTTGAAGTAAATCTTTAATTCTTTTTAGATATAGAACAATCATATCATTAAAATTTTTAACTTGTAAGTGACCTGTTTTTTTGAAAGCCCATTGGATAAGATGTTTTAAGTAAAATTGGTATATGTAAAATTACTTTTAATACAGTCACATTTGAAACTCTTTTGTCCAAATCAGTCATAGGCTATGGAAGATAAAATGTAAGCAGGTTGTATTGCCAGATTTATATAAAGATGATTCTTTTATTCTCTTTCAAAGGTTTATGACACTACTTTGGCTTCTTCTACATGTTTCTTGAGTGGAAATTTATTCACTGATAAATTTAGCTAAAACTTCAACAACTCTGTGCCAGGCACTCTTCTAGGAGCAGACAGAAATCCCTGTCCTCTTAGACTTTACATTCTTGTTGGATAATACTGGAATAGGAACCAGAAGATTTAGACTTATGTAACCAGCATTTCCAGTAGGCACATAATGTACTCTAAAATGGGAATGTATTAATTTGCCCAGTTTTAAAGGTTTGAGAAGAATAGTTGCAATTAATTATTTAAAACTAATTTATACAGTGTAAAAACTGAACTTTACATAATAGTGATAATGAAACTCTGTCTTTTTAGTAAGAGTATCACCAGGGACTGGATAATTAAGCAGCAGCTATTTATGAAAGACCTTGTAATAAATATATTTGAGTGCTTTATTCAGCACCTGTGTCACTATTAGTTTGAATTTAATCCATTAATCCTTTAGATTCTTACCTAAATTTAGTTTATGTTTATCTGAGATAAACTGGGAAGAACCTTACATCAATAAATTTAGCTTTGTAAATTTTTTCCATATAAGGCGCTTCCTCACCTCTAGAGAGCATTTAGACACATTTTTTTTTTCTTTTAAGGAGTGATAAGAGAGCCTCCATATTTATCCTTTCATACATGAGGGACTGTAATTCTCTGGACTAAAACACTTAAAAGAGAATGTTTTATTTAATAAACAAAATTTAGGTAGTTGTGAAAAGTTAATCTTTTCTAGGGTTTTTTCTATTTATACTATATATACTGAGCACAATGAGGTATATTTTAAGTTTAAAACCACACTGGAATAAATAAATAACAGTATTAAGATCCAGAGCCTGCAAACTTAAAATGTTTGCCACCATTTCTCTGTGTTGTAAGTGACTTTGACAACTTGAATGAATGTTTCTTGATTCCTTTCTGACTCATGAACAGAGGTTGTGAATGAAGTGTACATAGGTGGTAGTACTAGCAACATAGAGTATTTAAGCTGGTATTAGAACTGTATATATTTTTTCTTCCTAAGTAAGAATTGGTTAACTAATTATGAATCTGAAAGGCAAAAAATATTTTCAAATGAAATTTTTAGTATTTTTTGTGTAAAAATTAAGTGCGCATTATAGTGACTTGAAACAATAAAAGGTACAAAGGTTAAAAAAAGGTAAAAAGAGTATTTAGAACAACATATATGAAATACTAAAACTTTACTTAATGGGTGTGTTTGAAAGGGCAAATATTATAATTGAAGATTTTTAAAATTTTTTTAAGAGTTCAAAATAAAACATTACATTATTAGGTTCATGGTGATTTCTTACCAATCCCCCCCCCAATGTACTTTTTTAATATATCTAATGACATGTGTTATCATAATATACACAGCTGCATATTTTGAATTTTTGTCTAACAGTATGGTATGAGCATTTTTCCAAATTGACTTTTAAAACTTATTTTTAGTGATTGCATAATAATTTGTCCTGCAGATATACATAATTATTTACCTTTCATTATCCCATTTCTGGTTGTTATTCACTATTGTACTTAGGTACAACACTAGTGAACAACTTGGTACATAGATCTCTAAATTCATCTCAAGATAAATCTCTGGGAAAGGATTCTTTGGGCTTGATTACAAATGCTGTTAATGCTCTTGATAAGTACTGCAAAATTGTTTTACAGAGAGATAATACTATTTTATAATAGTATCATAAGGTATCTGAAAATAAAATTATATTCAGATGATACTATCTTCTTTGGAATTATGAGTTATCTGAAACCTTAGAATAAGACTTGAGCAAGAGGATCAGCTACCAAACTAGTTAAGTAGTATGAATGAAGTTTCCATCATTCATCTATAATCAGGTGAGTAGAAGATCAAAATTTCACAGTTCAAACTAAAATTAAATACCAAGTAATAAAGTTAGTAATGTGGAAATCCTTTGTAAATATATCACAAAAACCTAATCTGAAGTTTATTGTGAGATTATGATACTATTTGGTTGTTCGATCCCATTGTTCCTTAATGTAAGTTTATGCAATTCTACTCCAAATCTCAGTGACTTCATTGTTATTTTAAGAAATTTGACAAATTGATTCTAAGTTCATTTAGAATAGTAAATTTTGAGAAGAGCAAGATACTTTTGCTCTTAAAGAAGGATAAGCTTAGAAGAGAGTAATGACTTGTGTTGCCACCAAAAAAGAACACATTATGAAGAAAAAGTTAGATATGGAAATACTATTAAAAGACTAGGAGAATGGCTAACAGACTGAAGTGTCCAAGTATATTTAATTTCCAACCAGCCTGTGCAGTCAGTAAATATAAACAAGCTTACAGTGACTTTCAAATGCCCAAATTATGTTTGTACGTAGGCCGACAAATTAATATTTTGGATTACTGTGTAATGGCTTTGCATGTGATCAGTAGTTCAGTTTTGACATCTTTCTTGTGTATGAATATTTATAATTAATTTGACCTGATACATATATATCAATCTACATTTACATACTGCCTTTTAGATACATGTCTATTCATTCCAAGTATTTTTCAAGTGCCTGCTATGTTCTAGACATAAGGATACAATAATAAAATAGACAAGATTCCACTATTCCTTCAGTATACATTTTGTTGGGCATGCTGATAATAACACGTGAAATAATAAACTGTGAATAATTGGATGATGTGATAGACAATATGGTTTCTTTAGATTGCATATTCAGAGAAACTCTTTACTATGAAGCTAACATTTAATCAAAGATTAAATGAAGTATCAGCCATGCTATGGTCCTAATAGAGAGGGCTTTTCCAGATAAGGAAGAGGTGGTTCTGAGATTTAATGCAGAACTGAGTTTGGCAAGTTCAAAGAATGGAAAAATTCAAGCCATGACCTACAGTGAGCTTGACTGAGGAGCAAAAGGGAAAATGTTACCAGGTTACCAGGTGGGTTTGCTGAAGTCAGCTAGGACCTTAGTTTATTAGGTAGGGAAGTATTATTAACTGGTAAATCTTTGAGATTTGTAAAAATAGTAATCTTTTGCATGTGATTTATAATTTGGCATAATTAAAAATTTAATTGAGTGACAATCAATTAAGGCTAATAAGCATGCTCCACTTTCCACATAGAAGGGAAATCACTTATAGTTTGTGAATGCGTATTCAAAAACTAGGCAAATATAAGAGTTGGAAAGGTAGAAAGACAGAAGTAAAAGGAATCTTAAGACCTTACATGGAGTAAAAGTGTTGGGATGGGTATAGCAGGAAAGTAAATGGATTTTAAAGATCTTTCCATTAGGGCTACGATAGACTTGATGAGGGAATAGCTGGAATTTAGATAACCTGTGAATGAGCAGAAATATGCTGGTAGAATAAGGGTTGATGAGGGATGGTAACCTCATTTATTTAAATCTAGCAGGAAAACAAATAGTGATTATTTAAACTAGTGAAATGGGGGAAAGAGGAAACAAAGTGAAATAATAATGAATATAAGATTTTAAAAAGCAACTAATAAATTAAGGGGGAAGGAAAACATGAACTCTGTCAATATCATAATTGTGATCAGATTGAGTATATTTAATAAAAGACAAGCTGGTTGTTAAACCTAGCTATACTATACTGTTTATAAGACTCAGATTTAAAAAAGCAATTTGTCAATAAAGAGGTGTTTAGAATCACC